AAATCTTTCCCATTTTATTAAATACCATCCTTTATACTAACAATAGCAATTTTAGTCTAGAAATTCGGAACTCAAACTCTTGTCAATTTTCGTGACAATAAGAGCACCCTTGACTAGTAACTCGAAAGTTAATTTAACTTTCTCCGACATTTCGCAGAAGGTTCTATTACCGTTAGTTCGATCAATCTTACATAAGATACCCTTCAAAGTTTTTCTCTTCGATACATCGAGAGATCAAGAAAACAACGAACCGCGTGAAATCACGGTAAACGGGAAAAAGGGAGAACGGAACAGAAAGAGGTAGAACAGAAATGTATCAGAGCACAATTTCAAAAGTTGGCTGAAGATGAGCTCTAACTAAGTTGAACCCCGCAAAATTGCCCCTGTGACAGAAACTTCGAAAGAACTGCAGTTATGAACGCGCAACCAGGCGATGTTAATCAAGAAGTTGCCACGATAAATACCGTCGTAAACGTCACGGGACTGGCAATCCTTTTTTGTCTCTTAGTTGTATTCCGCGTGTGTTTTCGATAAGATATATTCTTAATTTAAAGCGGACAAGATAGAAGTTTGCAAAGCGTTGCTTCATGAGTCACGAAGACTGTGAGTATCCGTATAAAGTATGAATAAAAACGCGTTTCTTCGCATGTGCCTCGTCGTTTATATTCGCGAATAATTTCGTTATTAATCTTTTTCGCACCGGAACAAAATAAAAAATTAGATTGGCCGTCAAGCTTATCAAATTGTTATTTCGACCGGATAATATGGAATGATTAATAATTCGGATTATGTCATTTGCATCCACAAGCACATTGATACACATCCGCGCGTCTGATGCGTATTTATATTGCCATAAAGATAAAAACAAAAATTATTGTTAAATTTATAAGTATTTTTTTTTATTATAAATTCAATATATATTTTTATATTTATTTATACATACATCTAAAAGCTATTTAAATATGTAAGTATGTGCTGTTGTATACATTATATATTATCATTTGATTGTAATTATAATGTATAATTAAAATTAAATTGTAAAATACTTTATATTTTTATAAGATTATTCATGAATAAACAGATTAAAGCCTCATATAATTATGCTGAATAACTAATATTATGAAATGAACAAATTTTATGAAGCTGATAGCTTATAGATTCAAACAGACTGCAGTTGCGGATGCAAATAAGTTAATATGATTTTGCGGAATATAATACCTAGAGATTACATGATGAATCCGCAAGGGCTAATAAAACATGATGTAATACTAATAGCTGCCGTTTCAACCATTAATATGACACAATATTCTTAATAAATACATTAAACATTCACTAAAAAAAGATCATTAAAAATTCAAAAAATGTCATTAAAAATTAATATCATATTAATTTTTAATTAATATTAAAAATTAACTATCTATGAAAGTTAAAAATCTTATATAATATATTGTATTTATTATGGATATATTGTAACAACGAGTGAATAAAATAAAAAAAATAAACCATAATATTAAATAAAAAAGTCTCTCAATGACCCACTTCCTCTCACTTAAACTAATTTTTCGCTCAGAAAGGAACATCTCTTATTTGCCATCTGTATACATATTTTCTCCGGAAAGCAAAAGCTTTAGAAAAGAAAGGCAAGAAAACTTTAAATAAAACAATTCATTCTCCTCCAATCTTATTAAAAAAGAAACAACAAGACAAATCGATATCTTAAATCTTCATCTATTTCTTATTTTTATTTTCATGTGTTCCAAGAAATATAAAATTAACTTCTCATGTCAGCGTATGTATAAATTTTAAATAATAAGTACTAATTTTATTTCGAAAATTTCCATTTGCATCAAATATCATCTCGACTTTGCACGCGTGTATGCTAATGGCAAGCGCACTAAATGCGCGTGTTACATCGCGACCGCGGCATCAGCACTGACCTTGACTTTCCGACATCTCCGGGCAGCGATGGATCTTGACTGTCTCCTGAGCGCCTCCAGAGGAACGCGTTGCCTGCAGGGTCCGCGGCGGCGGATGCACCTCCACGACACAGCGACACTACCACTTTTTTTTCTTTTTTTTTTTCTTCGCGTTAGTTCCAAATTTAAAAGACGGTAATCGATCAGGGATTCTCACTCTCGCTCGCGTACAATCGATCGATCGCGATCCCGTGAGCGGAGAGAATAATCATTAAGATCCGAAAATCACGAAAAATGCAATGATACGAGGAAAATTGCGATCGACGAGAGTTGCGGTGCATTCGACACGTTGACGCAGAGGGGTACACGCCGATGCACTCTCCCTTTTTATTTCTTTCGTTCTTCTTAGTTCTTTTGCACGCGACACAACGAATTGCTCGCGGCGCGGCTTGGGCGGTGACTGAGCGCGAGGACCGAGGCGTCCCGACGCTCTCTCGGCATCACCCCCACCCCCATTTTCCCACCGATATCATGCGGGTGGATAAATAACTCCTTCTAAACTTCCCTCAATCTCCCGATTCCCGTTGTCACCATCGCGTTCCGATCAACGAGATCCCAGATCCGAAAGTTTTCCTCTCGCTGTTCTCCGGAGACTATACTCTTAATCCCTTTTCAAATCACCTGATACCGCGCTCGGTACTAAAAAACTTGAGTATTCAGCCCTAACAATACCAAAGAGTTTGTACCTTCTACGTGACATGATATTATAATATTAATCTTTTACAGATTAATCAAATAGTTTTCATCTCGGTTGGTGTAACGGAAAATTATATGATATAATAATTTTTATACTTCCAAGAAAAGCGGAAAAATATAAAATAATTTAATTTTTATAATCCATAAAGATTTTATCTTAAAAAAAGTTAAGTTTTGGATTACTCTTTTGATTAAAAAAAAAAAACAATAATTTTTTTCATATCATAAGTAATCAAATCTTTTCAAAGACACATTTTTTCGAATATAAAAATACTGTTATAGTGCATTATAGTATCATTTTATAGTATTTTTGGAAAAGATAGAGAAACTAATGTTGGATGCTAATTATTCAAGTGTATTTTAATAGTCTAAAACTATTAACATATTATTTAACATATTACTATTAAAGCTGCGACCATTGAATTAATATAATAATTAAATTAGTTTGATCATTTTATTTTGATGCAATATTGCAAATCGTATATAAATATATATAATATAATAAAGAGATAAATATATAAAAATATATAAATATCATAACGATTAAGTATAATTTATAGTCATTTACTTTATCCGTTATTGAACTTCTGGTTGTATTAAGTTGTTCATTTTATAATTCATCTGCATTAATTATATCAAAAAATATATATAATATTTGCTCCAAATATATATAATATTACATATAATATTAATTATATCAAAAATATATGACTTATGTATAATATGAGCTTTCGTTATCAATAAATTGAAAGTAATTTAAATCTTTCGTCAATATATATTCATCAATCATTCTTATATTTGATTTTTTATATCAGTAAAGAAATATAATCTTTCACGTAAAAATTTAATTCATTCATATTAAATAAGTCAACTGATCTTTATGTTTATATTACAAGTTTCCATATTCACTGCTGTGAATTCAGTGTCATGTATTATAAAGATCGCTAGTTCTGGATTTTCTTATATCAAGTATGCTCCATAGATAACATATAACATTGATATTATCGACTGTGTTTCATAACTATTGATGTGCTCCAAGGATAACCCAACATATTATCAACAAAAATTTCATAAATATATAATTAAAATTATAAATATATATAATAAATTTTATATATTTATAATCAATATTCTAAATATATATATA